GAAACTCAGTGTGCTTTTTCCCTAAATAACTTATTTTTTTCATTAGTATATTAGTCAGAGTTCTTGTAAAGGGGTCAGTATTGATAGAATATATATACAGGGGATTTATTGGATGGATTTACAGGATTCGGTCTGGGAGGCTGTCTCACATTAGAATCTTAGTCCATCCACAAGGCCGGATAGCTCTGTAGTTGCAATCTGGCTCTGAAAGCCCGGAGGATCCCTGGAGAACCGCTGGTTTTTAGTCTACACTGGGATCCTGAAGGAGTCGGTCCTAATACAGTAAAGGGATACCTCAGTGATGGGATAGATGAGTTTACCAGCAAGAGTGAGGGCAAGCAGGCAAAAGGCAAAGGCTTCCTTCTCCCTGTCCTTGTATGTGAGCTGCCACCAGAAGGAATGGCCCCGATTTAGGGTGGGTCTTACCACTTCAAATGGTCCAATCAAGAAAAGCCCTCACAGGAGTGCATAGTGTCTTGGTTGATTCCAGATCCGGTCAAGTCAACGACAACCAAGACTAGCTATCCCAGTTAGCTTACATAGAAATGGGTTTCTTTGTGGAATTTTCATACATATATATCATCATACTTTGGTTTTAATCCCATACCTCCATCCTCTGCCATTTCTTTGTCCTTGCTGGCTTCCTTCCTCCCAAAAAGTCTCCCTTCTGATTTCATGTCACATATATCCCATTGTCTTCTCTTGTTTACTGTTTGCCGTTTACCCTTCCTTTAGATCTCTTCTTCCCTCATAATCTCACATATATTTTCCTCTCTCTCTCTGTCTTACACAAACATACACACATACACACACACTTGTGGAATAAACCTTTTGTGTACTGTGAATATGTATCATTCTGATTGGTTTAATAAAAAGCTGAACGGCCAATAGCTATGCAGGATTTTGGGGGCAGAAAGGATGCTGGGAAGAAAGCGGAGATGCCGGGAGATGCAGAGCAAGCAGGATGGGCAATACAGAGGTGAGGTAATAAAACCACAAAGCAGAAAGTAAATGAATAGAAACGAGTTAATTTAAGCTATAAGAGCTAGTTAGAAACAAGTCTAAGCTATTGGTTGAACTTTCATAATCAATAATGTCTCCGTGTGGTTATTTGTGAACTAACTGTCCAAAGAAAAATCCGACTACATACATACATACACACACACAAAGACACACACACACACACACATACACATATATACACACCCTATAACCCATATATTAGATAAAACACATGCTATATAAGAGTTGGCTTATTTTGCTCCAGTTGAATCCGCATTCCTTCAAATACAACAGTTTCATCGTTTAAAACCTTAATAAATTCCACGGTGTATACAGACTACATTTTCTCAATTTGCTCATCTGTGGATGGACAGCTGGCTGTGTGTCTTCATTCCCATGAATAGCACATCAATAAACATGGGTATGCAGATACTCTGTGGGATGGTGACTTAGGGTCCTTCGCAGATGAACCCTGGAGCGGTGTCGCTGATCATGTGCTAATTTTATTTTTAGCTTTTAGGAAACCTCCCTACTGGTTTCCACAGTGTAGTCTCCACTTTATACACCCACCAGACAAAGCTGGGGTTCCCTCTTCTCTAAATCCTTGCCAGCATTTGTCCTTTTCTTTCTTTCTTGGTGCTAGACCTTCTGCAGAGGGTGAGAAGTATCTCTCCACAGTTTTGCTTGTTTTTAAAGGTGTGGGTCACCACACCCAACTTCAAGACAGTTTTAATTTGTATTTCCCTGATGACCAAGGATATTGAACATCACTTCAATTATCTCCTGCCCATTTGTTTTTAGTCCTCTGAGAACAGTCTTTTCTGATGTCAGGCAACCCATTTATTGATTTGTGTGTGTGTGTGTGTGTGTGTGTTTAATTTTTGATTTCATATAAACTTCAGATATTAATATCCTATTAGATATATGTGTTAGCAGATTTTTTTTCTCCTGTTCTCTGGGCTGTGGGTCTTTTAACTAATTGTTATTACTATGAGTGTGTGTGAGTGTGCATGCATGTGGGTGTGCTATGGCACACCTGTGGAGTCAGTCTTCCTTTCTACTTTACGTGGGTTCTGAAGACTGAATTCGGGGCCTCTGGCTTGGGCAGCAGCACACAGCACTCACTGAGCTGTCTTGCAGGCCCTGTGAGAAGCTCTGGGATTGTGAGAGTCCCGTTGCTCAGTTCTTGTGATTAGTTCCTGTACTATTAGAATTCTTTTCAGAAAGTCCTTGCCTATGTCTGAGTCTTTAGTGTTTTCTGTATTTTTTTTTTCATAGCACTCTGGTTCATTTTGAGTTTGCTTTAGATCTTAGTCGGTCTTAGCTTCATTATTTTACTTATCTCTCAGCACCATTTGTTGAAGAGGCTCTTTCTTCTAAAGCAAACTACACCTTTGTCAAGGCTGAAGGGGTTATAGTTGTGTACCTTCCTTTCCAGGTCCTCTGCCCTGTTTCGTGGTCATGTGTCTGTATGTGTGTGTGTGTGTCTGTGTGTGTGTGTCTGTGTGTGTGTGTCTGTGTATGTGTCTGTGTTTATGTGTCTGTGTGTGTATCTGTGTGTCTGTGTGTGTGTGTCTGTGTGTGTGTGTATGTGTGTGTGTGTCTCTGTGTGTGTGTTTGTCTGTGTGTGTCTGTGTGTGTCTGTGTATGTGTGTGTCTGTGTTTATGTGTCTGTGTGTGTGTGCTGTAATACCATGTTTTCGTTCTTATGACTGTAATACAGTTTGGGATCAAGTGTTCTGATGCCAATAGCATTACTTTCTGTTCAGGATGACTTTGGCTACTCAGAATCTTCTGTGCTTTTGTTTCAATTTTGGGGTCTCCCGGTCCCTACTTTTTCTTTGAAGGGTACTGTTGGAATTTCGATGGGGACTTCACTGGAGCTACGACTTGCTTTGAGTAATAGAGGCACGTTCTCTGTGGATCTGTGATCATGGGAGATCTTTTTTATCTTTAGTGACTTTCTCAATTTTTTCCTTCAGTGGTTTAAAGTTTTGATGATTGATTTATTTTTATTTTATGTGCATTGGTGTTTTGCCTTCATGTATGTCTGTGTGAGGATGTCAGATCCTCTGGAACTGGAGTTACAGACAGTTGTGAACGGCCATGTGTGTGCTGGGAATTGAACCCGGGTCCTCTGGAAGAGCAGCCAGTGCTCTTAACAGCTGAGTCATCTCTCCAGCCCCAGTTTAAAGTTTAATTGTATTGGCCTTCAACTTCCTTGGTTCGTTTCTTTCCTAAGTATTTTATGAAGTTTTTATTTTACTGATTTTAATTTTGATTTGTGCTGATTTTTTTTATTTTACTGAGTTCTTTCTGCAAATATGAGATTTTTTTTGTAACAGGAAATCAATTCATTTTTGTATGTTTACTTCGTATCTAGTTAACTTTGCTTAAAATATTTTTTGGTTCTAAACATTTTCTGATGAAGACTTTAGGCTCTTTTAAGGTAGGGCCATTTCATCTGCACATAGGAATACTCTGACTTTATGTTTTCCCACTTCTACCTCTCTTATTCCTTTCTCTTGTTTCAATGTCCTAGTTAGGATTTCTAACACCACGTTATATAAAGATGAAGAGAGTGGGCACTCTGGTTACAGTGTTTAGTACGAGAGTGGCCCCACAGGCTTATATATCTGCATGTTTAGTCCTCAGACCATGAACTGTTGGGAAGGAATAGGAGATGTGTCCTTGTGGAGGGGGTGTGTCCTTGTGGAGGGGGTGTGTCCTTGTGGAGGAGGTGTGTCTTTGTGGAGGAGGTGTATCCTTGTGGAGGAGGTGTGTCTTTATGGAGGAGGTGTGTCCTTGTGGAAGAGGTGTGTCTTTGTGGAGGAGGTGTGTCCTTGTGGACGAGGTGTGTCTTTGTGGAGGGGGTGTGTCCTTGTGGAGGAGGTGTGTCCTTGTGGAGGAGGTGTGTCCTT